ATAACTTTTTGAGTCTCGTTCAGAGTCAATTTTAACTTCGCAACGAAGGAGATTGGACTCGAAACGACACAATTTGCTCGATAGTAGATTTCAACTTCACAGCGAATGATATCTAGATCGAAGCCAAACTTTACAACGAATGGGTCATCCACGATTTTAACTTCATGACGAAGGGAATCGTGTCCACCCGCAACATACAATACTTGGATTTCAACTTCACGACAAAGGATATTCAAGTCAAGGCTCAACTTCACGACGAAGGGGCCATCCGCGATTTCAACTCCACGACGGAGGATATCGTACCCACACATCCACGATTTCAACTCCACGACGGAGGATATCGTGCCATTTGAGGCTCAACTTCACGACGAAGGGGCTTCCCAATTTCAGAGCCAATTTCAACTTCACGGCGAAGGATATTGGATTCAAGACAACACAAGCTCAACTTCACAACGAAGGGGCGGCTGATTGTCAACAAACAACTTCTCAGTTTCATTCGGAGTCAATTTCAACTTCACAGCGAATGATATTAGACTTGAGACAGCACAAGCTCAACTTCACAGCGAAGGGGCGGCTGACTGTCAACAAACAATTTCCCAGTTCCAGAGCCAATTTCAACTTCACGACGGAGGATATTGGACTCGGAGCAATACAACTTACTTGGATTTCAACTTCACGACGAAGGATATCCAATTACCAGGCTCAACTTCATGACGAATGGGCCACCAGCGGTTTCAACTTCACGACGAAGGGAATCGTACACACAAGCAACATCCATCTCAAAATTGGATTTCAACTTCACGACGAAGGATATCCAACTCAAAGAAGGAGTGTCTGTCAATAAACTTTCCAGTTTTAGAATCAATTTCAACTTCACAACGAATGATATTGGCCTCGAAACAACGTAACTTACATTAGATTTCAACTTCCCGACGAAGTATATATAATTCCCAGGCTCAACTTCACGACGAAGGGGCCATATATGTTTACAATTTCACAACAAAGGGTATCGTACCCCAGCAGATTGACCCAACTTCACGACGAAGAAGTCATCTGCAACACAGCAACACCAAAGTCTTCAGGACAAGTTTCACCTTCACGATGAAGTATCTTGGGCTAGAAGACAATCCATGAGCTACTTTCTAATACTCTGAGTCCGATTTCAGCTTCACGACGAAGGATTTCGTGCTCAGAATTTTTCAGTTTCGGCTCAACCTCACGACGAGGGAGTTATTTTGTGGTTCAATCCAGATTGGCAAACCAGTTATGACGTCGGATTTCAACTCTACAATAGAGGATATTCGATAAAAATGGGAATTCATCCATGTAATAGATGGTGTTAAATTTGGATACATTCATGAAAAGTGTGTCTTCTAATATTTTCCCTACACCCGTTACACGACTATGAGCAAAGAGGGGCAGCTGTAGACACACTTTTTTTTACCATACAAATATACATTTATATAAATTATTCTTATTATTTTATTAGTATTTTTTAATATTTTTTGTACCCCACTTAATTGGAAAACAACAACCCATTACCCCATTTCCTTTTCTCTCACGTTCACCACCCACCTTCCACAATTCTCGGCCCCTTCCATACCTACCTTGACCATTCTGTTATGGGTTGAGTGCTTCACAAAAGTTATATAATCCACACTTGCATATTGAACTGGGAGGGGCGCAAAGAAAAAAACACAGGAGAGGCGCACAGAGAAAAACGTGGGACCACAGTTCAGAGTCTGAAAAACAAAGTACCCAGTGTGTTGCTACTTCACACGATCCTAAGACATTTAAATCCAAGTTCGGGGTTACACCAGTGGTGCAAAAGCAAGCAAGAAGAAGCGCTAAGGATTTGTAGCTGAGCTGAATACACGGACTTTAATTTCCATTTGCAGTTCGAAAGGTTTTTTTTAATTGCTTTTGTTGTTTTGGAACGTGTTTGTTTGCGGAATTTTACAATTGTTATTTTTTTCTGCTTTATAAAATACCAACGCTGACTGTTTTGAAATGGACGAGTTCTATATTTGTTGTGTTTATTTCACATGTTGGTGTTTCATGTTCATTTGTCATAATAAATATGAATTAAGAAATGATAATACATTATTTATTATTATTTATTTATTTTATTATTTATTATTCATTTTTTTCCTTTTTGTTTAGCATTCAATATTTTATTTTGTCATCTACCATTTTGTTTATTTTTGCTTCGGTAGTAATTTCAATCGAAGGTAAATAATTTGAATCGGGTTTTTAAATTTCAATTTTCGCAATTAAAGACAACCGGAAAATTAATTGGTACCGAAAGGGCGATTCAATGGTGCTAATCCTTCCTTGACCGTAACCGACTCCCGAACCCGACATGTTTCTGGTACAACGCAGATCAGGTAAGATGGTATCCGCCCCACCTAAATTTGTTTTAAAATGGTCGGTGACAACTCTAATCTAATTCATTCACGTCGAAACCCAATTTCGAGACCCAACCGAAAGACGGTCGCGACACAACCAAATGTATTGCTATTGCATTGCATGCTCCATCTATCACACACTCTCCCTCATGCTTCTATTTTGGGGCTCAACTTTGATTTCTTTCCCGCCATGGATAAACGCACTTTTATTTATATTTTTCACATAATATTTTTTTTATATTTCTTAACTAAAAGTTACTAAAGGTAAAAGATGTGTAAGGAAGGGACGTGCGTAGCTAAGATCGAATGTTGAGAGAGTAAAATTATTTAAAAATTGAGATAAACAAATAAGAACTCATATTTTAGACCTAAAATAACTCATTTTTCATCTGTAGGGAGTTCTACCTGATGGAAGAGAGAGAGTTGTGAAGAGACTTTTCTTTAACAATCGACGTCGAGCTGCAGATTTCTACAATGAAGTTAACATGATAAGCAGTGTGGAGCATAGAAACCTGGTGAGATTATTGGGATGTAGTTGTTCAGGACCCGAAAGTTTTCTAGTCAACGAGTTCCTCCCTAACAAGAGCCTTGATTCTTTCATCTTTGGTAAACATCAATACTTAACTTCCAATATAGATACTGAAGATTAAATTGATACTGATATATCACTTACAGCTTGTTTTAACCTCCCGAAAGCATAAACAGATTCCAGCAGAGGAAAAGAAGTTACATGGGAAAAGAGATACCAAATTATTATCGGGACCGTAGAAGGTCTAGTCTATCTTCACGATAGCCCCACAAACAAAATCATTCACAGATACATAAAAGCAAGTAATATCCTGAAAAATCAAAAGTTTCGTGCCAAGATCGCTGATTTTGGTCTGGCATGGTCTTTTCGATGAAGATCAGAGTCATATCAGCACTGCCATTGCCGGAACATTGCAAGCATCGTCTTCTTTCTGCTCGTACTAGAAACTATTCAATGTTCAGCATAATCGAAAGCTTCTCATGTTCGAACTAGTAATTTCTACTTGTATGATCCACAGAGGATACATGGATCCGGAATACCTAGCCAATGGCCAGTTAACAGACAAGGCGGACATCTATAATTTCGGAGTGCTTTTACTAGAGATCATAACCGGCAGGTTTCATTTTAAAACATACATTTTTTAAAATATTTAAATCCAAACCCATATATAAATATATTATTCAAACATAAATCGATACACCTAAATAATTATTCGAATCTAAACCCCAATAAGATTATAAACCTAAACTCAATTGTACAAATTAAATACAAATTTAATTTAATAAAAATAAAAATTCCAACAAAATACAAACCCCTAAAAATTGAACATTTAGTGTAACAAGGTAATGTGGTTTGGATTGTATGATGAGATAGTAGTAATTATAATTTAAACTTGATCATCTTGAGTAGGAAGTAGAACTGGGATTAATTCATCATGTATGATGTTTATATGCAATGAAATTGGTATCTGTGGCTGAAAGCCAAGCTCGTGAAAGAAGTTTGCTACATATCTTTAAATAACATGAGTGAATCACTTCAATTTCTATTAAGAAGAACCAAAAACTTGCAACCCAAGAAAGTATGATAAAATTCTACATCCAATACCCTTAATGCTACCGCTTTGGCATACGAGTCCTGTATAAAGACGATCCAATGGCTTCTTGTGTCTTCCTATAGTCTCCTCTTCCCTAATGGATCGACTCCTATTAGTGTGGCTCCGGGTAATTTGGTAATTTTATGTTTTCTTTGAATTTCTATAATTACTTTTAAGATTATAATTAAATTAATAAATTATAAAATATAGAAAAAGTTAAATTATTAATTTATTTAGAATTAAAATCGAATAGAATGTAAGAGCTAAATGTATTTTTATATTACTTAAAAAGAGACCATATCATTTTCTTTAGCAATAACCAAATTGGCACTAACTTAAAATGTTAGTTACTAAATCTTGATTTTTAGTTTGGTGATAAAATACATCTTATATTTTCATGACTAATTGAATAGATTATCCTAAAAATTGAAGGCTTCGAATTCTTTTAGAATGTTTAAGGGTAAAGGTTGAAATGTTAATTTTAAAATTTTGAAACATGAAAAAAGTTATAGGTATTTTTTTATGTGACATATAAATTTAAGGTATAATAGTAAAATTATCATGATCACTTTGATTTTTGTTTTTTTAGAGAATTTTAACCTTCAATATTTTAATTTTTAGTTAAAGTATCTTTTGTTAAAAGAAATCATTAGTAGAATAACTGTTATAGCATGATGTGACACGTTAACAACGTTAATTGTTAGCCAAATAACAAATTCTTTTTCTAATAAAGGTAATTATCATCATAATTTTATCATTATGCTTGAATTTATAAAAAAAAATTCAAATTAAAGCTATTATAAATATATAAGCAAGACATATATATAGGTGGATGATTGTAAAGCTGGATGCAAGAATAAAACATGTGTCTCGCACTGTATCATCTCTACCCATAAAGTGAACAACGTTAAATGTTGGCGAAGTTTGCGGATACGCATGAAACAAAAGAAGAAGAAACGACTTTGAAAATCTAAAACGAGTGGAATATGAAGGATTCCGAAGGCTTCCAGTGTCGCTTTCTTTGATTTATGAACCAATTGTTGATTTGCTTGGGGTGCAGTCCCGTTGTTTCAGCCAATGCTATCTTATCACCTTCCTTCAACCACCGACCAAGTAATAATATTAATATCTAATCATCATCCTTGAAGCGAGAGGAGAGAGAGAGGGAAGGGTACCGTTGGATATGGCCATTTGTTGTGAACATTCCACCACTCTTCCAATATTTGCCTTGCTTCCTTTCCCAGTTTTCCTTTCTTCTTCTTCTTCCTCGCCAACTCCATCTTCAGGCTGCTTATATGATTCCCGAATCTACTCACCAGATCTTCTTTCAGAACTTCTCCGCTCCCATCTGATAATGACTCTATTTTAAAAATACTCAAAAAAACAAGACATTTGTAATTTCAAATTAAAAGCACATTCCAAGAATTAAAAATAACAATAATATATGTATGAAACCAAGTTTAACCCACCGAACCTCAATGAGTAGACAAGACGAAAGAGTTAAAGGAGGGGATGGTGACCCAACGGCAAAAACAGAATGATTAGGGTTAAAGACAAAGACCACCCAAATGTGTGGTCATATCTACTGTCAGTTCGAGTCGACATGACTCTCTAATACACAACAAGCTTAGTATATACTACCTAATAAAGGATGACCCAGCAAATCTTCTTGACCATATCACCCCCCACAAGTGAAGATCGGAGATAAAGAAGCCTGGACTAAAGTGGCGGCAGAGATGCGTGAAAACCGGACAACGTCGGAGAATTGAATGAGTGGTGTCATTAATGTTATTTCACAACAAACCCTTCAGCGGATTCCCCGGCTGTCCATGTGAATCCTCCTCCTCTGCCTCTCTTTCTATCATAATAAATTACTAATGCCATTCAACCTTGTTTTGTCTTAAATTATGGACCAACATCATACAAACACATTCGAGAATTAAGTTAACCAACACTCAAATTAAATGAAGTAAAGTAACTCGAAAAGATTACAAATAATTTAAATAAATAATATATTAAAATTTTTAATTAAATTAATATTAATATTATATGTTAATTATTCTTTTAAAATACAATATAAGACTTTCATGTATTTAGATTCAAGATTGAACTAGATTTGAACTTCAATCAAGCTAAGTCTTAGAATATTTCTTATTCAAGTTTTTTTAAGTTTCAGTGGAACTTCATTTTTTAATTTCAAGTCAAGCTTAAAAATTTTAAACTCACAAGCTTTCGAGTCGACTTTTACTTTTTGATTTTGAATTCAAGTTGAATTTAACAATTTTAAGCTCACAAACTTTAAAATCTAATTCAATTTTGAACTTTTTAGTCGAGCAGAAGTCAACAATACTCAAATTTATTTAGAGCCCTACCTTAAACTTCACCTTCCAAGCTTGCATTCCAAATCTAATTACTATTATTAGAAATGAATCAAATCAGCAAATGAAGACTAATTAATATCTTAACATAATGCATCTAAATCATTCTAATCACAACATAATACATTGCAATTTGAATGTTATGAGATTTTTTCAAGACAAATATAAAATCAGCACATTATTTTATTCAAATATACAATATGATCTATGAATTTTATTTTAATATAATTATACATATGTATATTTAATTTTATTTCATTCACAGATATAACACTTTAATCATGGTTTATTTCTACAAATTTTATATTAAATAATATTATTCCATGAAAATTCATGCATCACAATATACAAAATAAACCAAAAAGTCAAAGTATTTGATTATTAAACCAAAAAATACCTTCATATATCTAATTAAACCAAAGATTTGATTATTAGATTAAACATTAAATTCATGTTTAGATACCTATAAAAAGTGTAAATACTTTTATCTCACACAAATGAAATTACACATGCAAATACTGGCTTTAAATAAAATAGAGCCTAAAATCAAGTGATATTTGCAACAAAATATTATTCGATTTATTTCATCTTGAGTTGTAAAACTTTAACTTCACACACTAAAAAAATAGAATCATTTACTTGGAATGATATTAAAAATCAAATAACCAAATTCGAAAAGTTGATCCATTATTTTGAATCAATAGAACATATGGGCATCACCCTACAGACACGCATGTACGATCACTGCTTGCACGACATTGTGTGAGAGAAAAATATGGTAAATGCTTTTATTATTTTAGCACACATCATGGAGCAATTATACACTGCTCTCATCAAACAAAAGTTTCCAGCCTAGAAACATTTCGGCAAACTGCAGGAAAAATAATTCTATGTATCTTTTACCTATAAAACACTGTAGTCATGATGAAGAACTGTAAATCTACTGTATTTAAGTTCATTTGAAAGATTAACCTCTTAATTCGGATAAAAACCATTACTGTTCCTAGGGGGATCAACGAGGGTAGCCATGATTTGGTGATCATGCAATAACACAGTTGAAGAAAACAAACGCCCGTGTTTGACACATACTTGAACATAAATCGATAATCCTTCAAATACATGCAGAAAAGACTTGGATCAACTGCATTGTTAAAACTCAGTACTGATGTAGGACAAATGTGTCAAATACGGAAACTTCAAAAAAGAATGAAGATAAAACTGAGATATAGAGAGAAGACCCCTTGGGGTAAAAAATGATATAAGATAACCCAAACGTTCAATCAACTCAAACAACTGACCCTAGGCTTAGGTTTTTGCATAATCTAAGGCATTGCAAAAAAGAAACAGTTGAACGCATAGGTGAGAGTCTGTCGACCAATTATTTCGAATGACACTCACTAAACTCTGAAACGTCAGTTCATAATCTCAAAAATGAAACCAAAAGATGTCTACTTTGAGGCTTTCATTTTTCATTTTCTCTGACAAACAGCCAAAGAAAAAGAAGAAGATAAAACTGAAACTACATTTAGAAAGTAAAGATGTGAAATGACAAACAAAGATGATCATTAACAGGCAAATGCTTACTGGGGAATGATCAACCCCTATTCCACCTCAACTATGGGATATTTAAGACGGAAATGGTGTCTAAACAATAATATTTGTCTATACATCATCTCTAGGGTTTCGTTTACTTTTCAGTTAGTGTTAACTATCATATTATTGATACACTCGAAAGATTTCTCCTTTTGAGTACTGTTGTTGCCCTCCCCTAATCGATTCTCTAGCAGAAAATGATATGATGACGACTAGGAAATGAATAATTGTCGTCCATTCGTGCGTTCATATTATCATACACCAAGAGCCTACGAAACCCAACTTTTCCCTGCCAGTTGAAGGCATTCAAGAGAGGTTTATAGACCAATTTTAGCTTTATTCAATTATTTGAGTAAATTTTCTTTTGTAATTGAACCAGATAACGAAGTCATGAAAAGAGAAGATATGAGAGCAGAAAAACCAAGAATCGAAAGATTGAACAAAGAATAAAGATATCCAAAAGAAATAAGACTGTAACACTCTGACTTGTGGAAGAGAGAGGAGGGACTGACCAGAAGGGCCTGTAATGGAAGCATCCGTGCAGAGATTTCGAAGCTGCATCTCAATCTTGTTTAGAAAAGCAGTCGCTTCATCAAAAGGCCTTGAAAGATCAGATTTGTATTTCACTAACACATCGCAGTAAGTTTCCTGAACAAATTAAACCCCAGACCATCATATATACATATATATACACAGCGAAAATAGATAAGCAAACTTCAAAGTCGCAAAGGAGAGAAACCATGAACTCGTCGAGCTCAGGATCGGCTCCCAAGCAGGTTGGCACAAAATCCCGCTTGTTAACATCGGTCACCGTCAGAACTTCGTCTAATATCCTCGCCATCTCCGCAGGTGCTCCGACCTAAAATAGAAAAAAAGAATTCTATAAAGAGCTTAGAACAATAATCGAAACAAAGCATCAACAAACTGCATACACTCTATTTGATTAAAAATCCATGAGATAATTCCGACTAAATTATGGAATTTGATTGAGTCAGCTTCTTTACGAAGAGTAAGAAAAAAAAAGGGTAGGAATTAGGATCATGAAATTGAAGAAAAACGAAGTGCGAACTAGTTTGAGACTAAAAAACCCTCGTAAACCACTCATTAATGGCGGAAATTTAAAACACGACAAACAAAGCAACTGCAGCAAATCTTACCTTGATGTTCCTGCACATAACATCTACAGTGCCGTTATATATCCTATTTAATGAAGCTATGGTGAAAAAGAAGAATGAAAAAGTTCGAAATTCTTTTATTCATTTTTCAGTGGATTGTTTCCACCCGAAATAGAAAAAAACAAAGAAAATTCTTTTAGTAATTTTAGTTCCCTTCACCTTCTGGCAATCAATATAAGCCTCAAGCAAACGAGGAAAAAAAGGATGAGAAGCGATTTTTGCTTTGATCACGTTTGAAATGTCCACTTCTCGTTGAATTTCTGGGTTGATGGAAGCGGCTTCGGAGATAGCGGAAGCGAGAGAGATTAGCTCGTCGGATCTAAAAGCCGGAGCCCCATCTGATACATAAAGCTGGGCTTGGTAATCGGAAGGAATTATCATGTTTTCCGGTGACATTAAAGCGTTGTCAACGTGCTGATCTCCCATGGTGTAGAATCCGTACATTTCATCCATGAAAGCCAACGTCACCCGGTAAAATAAACTAACTGAGATAGGAAAAGCCGAAAAGCTGAGAAAATTAATGATTTAAAAGGAGAAAATGGTTACGGGATTTATTTGCGTAGATTGCTTTCCATTATAGAAGTGTATATGAAGGCCGCATATGAAGATTGTATATGAAGACTGTTCAATTATATATTTATTTAATTATTTATTTATACATGCATTGCATTTTATCTTTATTTTTAATTTTTTGATTGTCGGAGATCTTCCACGGAAGTTGCTCTCAACCTGACGTTAGGGGCAACCTACTACCCTACCTCCCCCTTACCCCATTGCATATGAGAATAAGGTTTTGTTGTTGTTGTTGTTGTCATTGTTGTATCAAGTTATAGAGTCTGGATTAAATTTCAAGTTAAAGAATATAAATGATCCCTCAATTATATGTACGATGTTGGTTTGTCGAGTCTCTAATTATTAAAAGTTATAAAATAATATTTTGTTATTATTTTATTGAATCTTCTAACTATTGAAAGTTACATAATAGTCAACCAACTTTTTATATGTTCTAAATTCATTTTTTTTTGTTAAAAATTGACAGTCTTATGAGTTAAACGTTAACATGTTGAATGAGATTTGATAAATTTATATTTTAATAATATATATTGGTGTTGCAATTGCTTTTAAGAACTGGCTCGACGGAGTGATGTTTCATGCATTGGTTTGACAACATAATATAAACAGAGAGTCGATCCACAAAATATAATTCAAAATATTTTGAGATTGAATTTTATTATATCTCAGTCATCATGTTAACATTCAGTTTAGATTATTTTTAATTTTTTAACAAAAAATAATGAGTTTGAAACATATAAATAGTTGTGTGATCATTTTGTAACTTTTAATAGTTGGTAAATTTTATTATCTTAAGACAATTTTATAACTTTTAATAAATGACGGACTCAACAAAACACTGTCATATAGTCAATGAACCATTTGGTTTTTTGTACAAAAGAGGTGAGGCAAACGACAACGTTTCCTCTACATTCTTAGGGTTTCTTCACTCTGCCTGTTAGAATCTAATAGTCGTAATAAGATTTCAGGCTGCTCGTTTTTTCCCTTTCTTCTTCATTGAGACCAAGCTTTACGAGAGAATCGGTGCACCTGTTGGCTTCCCTTAGGATATGTATAATGTTCTTCACTTCTTGATCTTTTAATAGCTTTTTACAACCTTCGATTAATAATTTGAGGTTAACATCCTCAGATTTGTCTGTTTGTAGGAACTCGATCGCCGGCAAAATCCACGAGATAATGTTCTTGAACTTTTATTTCACGAGATAATGCTTTGGACATATTATTTGCTGAGATAGGGTGAATTCTACATTGACAAAAGGAGGTCGCCATGCACTCCGGGCGACCAAGGAGGTTGCCATGCAATCGGACGACCAAGGAGTAATGCATATGGGAGCTGTGGGATGAATGTGGGAGTTGTGCATGGGCCATGCACGTCGAATGGTGTAGGTCGCCATGGAGTCCCGACGACATGGTAGGTCGCCATGGAGTCCCGGCGACATGGTAGGTTGCCATGGAGTCTCGGCGACCAAGCTCTTGCATCCCTCATGCATGTGTTGCCTCCATAGCCTCATGCATGCGTTGCATCCATAGTTGTATTATTGCAGTGTTAATTTAGCTGCTAAATGCAACAAATATTGATGTTCAATTGCAGCCTTTCAATGCTCAATAGTTATACGATTCAATGCTAATATTATATTTGCTTCAACAGTCAAATTTAATGACTATGTCCAACGCTCATTTGCTTTATATAAAGGATATGGGGTTTAGGGTAGAAGCAGAACCAGAAGCATAAGCATAAGCACATATAAACTTTGCCGAGAGAAAGAAAAGGAAGAAGAAGAAAAGAAGATAAAGGCTCAAACATATTTCGTGAGGTAATTTTTTATTGTTTAATTTAGTTTATTATATGAAATTATTAGTTTGTTAGTTTAAGGTTTAGGGTAAAACTAAAATCTAGTTAATTAGTTTGTTAGTATAAATTATTAGTTTGTTAGTTTAAGTTATATTATATTAGTTTGTTAGTTTAAGTTATATATTATATTATATAAAAAAATAGTTAATTAGTTTCTTAGTTTAAGTTATTAAATATAAAAAATATTAATTAATTTGTTAGTGTCTTTAAACATATATTAGGTTGTTCGTTGAAGTTGAAGTTATATTATAAAAAAAATTAATTAGTGCTTAATTAGTTTGTTATTTTAACTAAGTTATATTATAATAAAGAAATAGTTTATTAGTTTAAGTTATATTATAATATATTAGATTAAATAAAATTAATTTGTGGGAGCTATTGTTGTTTAAATAAATATTTTGTTTACACATACAGGGCATTATTCCACAACATTTGCCCCACGTACAGATTGATTCGAAGAAAGAAACAAGGAAAAGAAAGGAAATGAAGAAGGCATAAATACGTGAGTAATTTATTATTTTTTGTTGTCCATTTTTTTGTTGTTGTATATGTGTAAATTAGTTAGTTAGTAAGTTTATATTAGATTATATACACTAATTTGTGCGAGATAATTTTCGTTTAAAAAAATATTGTGTTTAAAAATATTTTGTGTTGTTTTAAAAGAATATTTTGTTTAATTTATATTGTATGTGTAAATTAGTAAGGAGTAAAAAATAATTGAATGAAATAATTCGGCCAACGCATTATCTCGCGAAATAATTCTTTCGAGAACATTATCTCGACAGTTTTGCCTAACAAATTTGTTTGATATTTTTAAAAAATAAAAAATATTATCAAACTAATCATTATTATTATTAGTAATAATTACTAAATGATTAGTATCAAATCTAAATCATTAAATATTTATAATAAATAATTATTAGTAATCATGACTAAATCATATTATTATTAAATCATTAAATATCAAATCATTAGATTAATAATAATTATTAAATCATTATTAGTAATATTAGTAATCAATCAATCAAGTTAATAACAAATTTTATTTGATCATTAATATAATATAATATTATATTATATTTAATGATTTATGAAATTATCTTATCTAATTTTTTAATCTAAATTAATTTATTTTTTTATTTGTAGAGAAAATGAGCAACAACTTTTTCACGATTGTCCATTATAATGGACAGATTATGGAAAATGAGGTCGGAGTAGTTTTTCAGTCTGAAAATTTAATAAATATGATGTTAAAAAAAGACATCACATTTATAGAAATGAAGCATAAGATAGAAAGAAAAATTCGAGCTGCAGTTGATGGTTTGAGGTATAGGTTTATGATATGCCCCAACCCAGTCAGATATGTTGCAGTTCCACTTGAAGAAGATGATGATATTGGAATCATGGTTGGATTACATGAGTTAACCAATATAGCAGTTATTGAGTTATTTGTTGATGCGCGTAACATATGTGATGTTCCTGGGTCATCAAGATGTGTTTGCTCAAAATCCATCTGAAATGGCTTTATATAGTCAGTTTGAGGAGCCGACATACAAGTTCCCGAACAGTTTTATGACACTATTGGAAAGTGTAAATGAAGTCGGGGGACATCTGCAGTAGCAGAGTATGAGACGAGAAACATACCGGAATTGGTTGTTGATATTGACGCTGAAAATCGATGGGGATAAATTCATGATGATTCAAGCGAAGATGAAGAAACCGAAGAACCAGTTTTGGGCGGCGACAAAAATATTTTTGGTGGAGGTGTAATTGATGAAGTTTCAGCACCGTATGAAGCTACTCCTCACATGTACGAGATAGACTATGATGCGATGAGGGCACCTGAATTCCCAGACATGCCACATTTACCTCCGTACCAAATGACTGAATTATTCGATAATTCTGGTGAATTTTCAGTTGGGTGCAATTCAGAGGAAAAAATTTTGATGGTCAATATAGGCATGTACTTTTGATGGTAGTTTCTCAAGATGGTGAGCGAAATATCTTCCCAATTGCATTCGCCATTGTTGAGGGAGAGACAACATAGGCTTGGGATTTCTTTCTAACCAATCTACGTCAATATGTCGTTCGTGAAGATGGAGTTTGCTTGATATCCGATAGAGGAACGGGTATTTTGACGGCAATTGAACGACCAGGAAGTCATTGGATACCTCCGTATGCATATCCGACATTTTGTATCCGTCATATTGGCAATAATAGTATCGACCAGTTTCATAACGCATACATTCGTAGCGAGATAATCAGCATGGGTAAGTTTTATTTTCAATATTTGTGCATTTTTACGTGGTTTTTTTAATTGCGGTTTAACACAATATATTATGAAACAGGATACGAACTACGTCGACCAAATTTTGACAAGAGATTGGAGAATTTGAAGGTATTTTACGATGATCAGCGTGTTTGGAAGTGGGCTTCAAAAATACCGCGGGAAAAATGGTCGCAAGCATACGATGAAGGTCGGAGATACGAACATATGACCACAAACCTTGCTGAGGCCATTAATTCGGTACTAAAAGGTGCACGTCATCTCCCAATAGCGAGTGTGGTGAAAGAGACGTACTTTAGATTGGCTAAAGTTTTGTCGGACAAAGGCAAGGAAATTAAGAGTCTCATAAATAGAGGTAAAACTTGGGCTCCTATAGTGGTGGAATCAATGGAAGCAAATGAGCGATTGGCAACATCAATGGTTGTTCATAATTTCGACCGAGTTGGTCATACTTTTGTCGTGTCGTGCATACGCCGTAACGTCGGAGGAGAAGACCAAACATTTAGAGTTGATTTACGATACAAATGGTGTGATTGTGGTCGTTTTCAGGCATGAAAATATCCATGTGCTCATGCAGTCGCTGCATGTATGTATGCTGGTGTAAACGCATATACTTATGTTGATGAATGCTTTCACCTACGTAAGATATTAAATGTCTACAACTATCCGTTCAGACAGATCCCGAATGAATCATATTGGCCCAAAAAGGATCATGATGAATGGCTACCAAATCCAATGCTTCGCAGAAGTCCAAAGGGTTGACCTGAGTCCACTCGTATTCATACCAGTATGGATTTCCATGCTAG